ACCGAGCTGTCCCAGGCTATGGCTGCTCTCCAGCAGAGGTGCGTTGCTCTCGCCGCGGACCTCGCCGCCGCCCAAGCTCGCCAAGGCCCTCTACTCCAGCGCCTTCACAGCGCTGGGCGAGCCTTTGCCGAGCTGCTCACGGCCTCGCCCGATGGTGCCGTGCCGTCACTCACCATCCAAGCTATGCTGTCATCGTTCCGCGGCGCTCCACCTGGTGCCCCGCGCTAATCTCCTCCTTTCTGCCTGCCCGTGTGTACGCGTGGCTCCGCGTCCACGGTGTCAGGGCGTGGGGGCGGGGGGTGCCCCGTCACTGCGCGCCGCTTAGCGGCCAAGCGCCCAACTGGCGGTCTGCCAAGCCGCCTAGCCACGTGTCAGCACGTCGCCTTTCTTGTTGGGGCCTCTTTCCTTACGCGGTCTGACAGGTGAGATCATCATCGTCTGTCCGCCGTCTGTAGCGTCTGTCGCACTGCGCCGGGGGAGGGGGTTTTTGTTGCCCGCCCTCGCATCTAAAGGCTGCACCGCCGCAAATAGTGTATGCGAGTTGTCGCACCGCAGTGCGCCTCGCGGACGGACCCTGGTCCGCCTACTTGTCCGATCTCTCTCTCTCTCTCTCTCTCTCTCTCTTTCTCTTTTTCTCCTTCTCTCTTGCGCTCGCTGAGGAGTGGGCCGGCAGATGGAGATGGCCGCGACGGGCTGCTCGGGGGCGCAATATTCAATCATATTCAACTACTTGTTTGCGTTAACTACGTGGTCTCTCGCCCCCGCATGCCGCGCGCGCTTTCTCGCGGCCGCGCAAGACTCAAGCGCGCGTGTTCTGCGCGCTTATTCAGTCAGATGCGCGGCAGTCGCTGCCGGTCGCTGGCGGGCCGGAACTGCAAGCGCATGGCGGCAGCTTTCATTTCGGCCTCGGCGACGGCGCCTCGCCGGCGGCTGCGGCCCCACAGCGGGATTGGCTGACTGAACATTGACGCTTGCAAAAGCAATCTGCGCGTCGAGATTCACGCATCAGCGCGCGTTTCTTGGGCGCGGTCTTGGCCGCGTAGAAACATGTATTTTTGGTCAGCCAGCCGCGGTTTCACTTGATCGTGGACGCGCCCGCGGCGGCCGACATCCGCGAAAAGATGGTGGCGGAGTCGCGGGTGGTCCGCGAGTCTAGGGCCAACTCAGGTGATCGTGCCATCGGCGTTCAACGGAACAATATCCAGCGCGAGTTAGGCTTGGAGGTGGGCGAAGCAACCCGCGGCGGGAAGTGGCGCCAGGAAGCCTTGGCGATGCTGCGACGCTGGTCTTCCGAAGAGAAAAGGGGATGGAACGCGCGAGTAGTGCTGGCGCTGCCGACGGCGGGGCCGCGCCGCAGTTGCCGCCGCCGACGCGAGGATCGTCGGCGCTGCAAGAAAGTGAGCCGCGCCCAGAGGCACCGGGAAGGGGCGCCGAGAGAGATGGCGAAGACGATGGCGCCGGCGAGAGCGACCGCAACGACGGCAGTGGTAGTTCCGACGAGAGCAGTGCGAAACATGGCGACCAGGACAGTGATGACGACGAGAAGAGAGCGGGGTCGGACGACGGCGACGTGGAGGAAGCGTTCGTCAACGAGGAGGAAGAGTCGGACGACGAGGAGGACGAGGTCCTCAACCACAATCAACATCAGGAACTGAGCGGGGAATTCAACGCCACGGTTGCCGAGAACGAGTCATTGCGGAGCGGGGTAGGTGCAGCCGGGGTTGCGATCAAGGACTTGACAGAGCGGAACAACGAGTTAAAGGACATCCTGAAAGCCGCGGCGCCGGGCATGCTGCCCCCGCGGTCGCGCTCGCGATCCCTTTCGTCGTCTCGCCCGCTCGCCTCGGATAGCGAGTGGATCAGTGTGTTTTTCCCAGCGGATGCAGAACGACCGGTGGCGCGGCGTCGCTCTGTGCCAGCTCGCTTCGCGCGCGCAGCTTGACGCAGTTCCCTGCCATGGGCCCGCCAGGATAAGATCGCAGAGAAGCCGTTGCAGAGGAAACTGCGCATATTTTGCTGTCATCGTCATTCACTGATGGCTTCGTTCAAGTGCAGGGTTCTCAAGAGCTGTCGCCCTGAGAATCGTTTGTGTGCTCTCGCGCTGTCAAAGAGGGTTCCATCTGGGAACGCGGCGCCGACGTTTCGCTGCGACAGATCGCTGGGCTGATTGCGTGCTTCTCCGAAGGTGTCGCGGCCACTCCGGCGTCGCAGCTGTGCGAGGTGGGCCAGATGTCCGTCTTCCACTGGTGCCGCCAGCTCAGAGTCTGCGTCGTCGCGAAGATGGGGAAGCTCCAGAAGTCGCTCGGCAAGCAGGGCGGGAAGGGCATCGTCGTGGAGGTCGACGAAGCGTCCGTGGCGAGTGGCAGCGCAGGCCTGCCCCCCCAAGAAAGGGGCGCCCGCGTTCTCATGCGCGCGCGTCATAGCCCGCGGGTTCGCGGCCCCCGCAACGTGGCGATCGAGCAGCTGCCCATCGAGATGCAGAGGTGCGGGGTCAATGGGGGCGCAGAGGACGATGAGCGGAGGGGCAATCATGTTCGACGGCGAGAGGTCGGCGCCGCCTGGCCCGCCAGCTCTGTCCGCGCCGGAGGGGAAGGCGCCCTTGAATGGGCACTTCCAGTCTGGCATTATTTCCAGCGACTCCGCTTCTACATGCGATTCCCAGGCGATTAAGCGCAAGATCTTCGGCGACGGGGCCAAGCAGATCGCCGTCGCCCATGGGGGAGATCAGTGGTCGATTGTGCCCAATGTCGACGGGGGGGGATCTGGGCGGGCGCGCAGTGCATGGGCGTCTTCTTCGGCAACTACAAACAATGGGCGAAACCTCGGCCCGCTCGTCGATCCGATGTGATGCAGTACGTTCGTGAGTGCCAGTGCTGGTTCGCGACCAAGAAGGAGGGCCGCCTGGTGGTGGTCGGCAAGGCTTGCAAGGATTTCGCTGGAGTCTGAGGCGTTTTGGGCAGAATCTAGAGCAGCGTTTCAGTGGCGCTCGGGAATGGTGAGCTTGAACCACTGCGTCTTGCTCTGAGCGGTCTGGTCGGAGGGCGTTGGCCCGCTCGCGGCGGGGGCAGAGCATGAACGATACATTGAGCCAACGGAGATGGCTAACCAAAGGAACACAGAAACAGCAGGCGACACACATAGATATAAACGCCCGAAGTGTAATCGAATATACCATAAAGAGGACAGTAGCAAATCGCACATGCAGCAACGCAGAGGGACATCGCGGAACGGTGCAAAACAACAGAAACATAGATAAAAAAACAAACGTCAGGCAAGTCCAGGAAGCGAGACGGTGCACTTGTGCGCCGTGGGACCATTGTTTCGCGGTTGACGAGCTCCCAGGGCAGGTCGACGGGGAAACCTCGCGCATGATATTGCGCGACGCGTTTGCTGGCTTCTTGGCAAGCCAGGGCGCGCGCGGTCGATTTCCCGTTCGGTCTTCGGGCGCCTGCTGAAAGTTATTTTGCATCTGCATATTTGCTGATGCGGCGCCCGAGCTAAGCGAGCATGCAAGTCCCTGAACGTGCATCCGTTGAACGAATCGGTGATTGCTCATGAGTCCACCCCACCAGCCAACAAAATGCGTAATTCAGCGGCGGAAAGGGCGGACGGCATTGTCCAGGACGGTGCGGGGGCGCTGCTGATGCCGCCCTAGTTTCTGGCACCCTAGTGGGTTTACGCCGTAACATACTCCTGCTTGGCTCCGTTCGGCCAGGTTTTTCGTCAGGTTCATTCGAGCTCAAGAACAACAACCGCAACATCACTTGATCGCGCGTCTCTACAAGGCTGCGCACCATCGCGAATGAAATCGCTACCTGGGCAACCGTCCCAGTGTGGTCCCAGTCGTGTCCAGCGACAACGCCTGTTCAATGTTTGAACCAGCGGCTCCCGCGATCAGTTCAGGGCGCAGATGTTGGTCGCAGAATTGCGGCGCGGCCGATGACGACGGTCTCGCGAATCCGGCAGAGCGCGGTCCAATTTGTCGAGCAGGGCTCCGGGTGGCGACCCCGTCAGGTCGGACTGGTGGAGTCCAGGGCGACGGAGGGGCGCGCACGGGCCCAGTCGGCGCTCGCGTGGTTTTGGATTGTTGTGTACGTGATTTCGTCAGCTTCTTGGTGGCACGCAGTCTCAACTTGAGTGTGACGACTCTCGCTGGCCCTCTGCGTTGAGTACTCTTGGCTAGAGGCAGGGCGTACCGTAGCGCCAGGTGGGTTGGCTTGCGTGGGCGGGACCAATGCTGGCGACGGCGTGCTGGAGAGCAAGCGCGGTATAGTATGTTGATCGCCCCGCTTCATCGTCGTGGACCTTCCCAGTCGCACCCACAAGATGCCAGGCATCTCCCATGATGCCTCCCGTACTGCATGTCATGACTGCTGTTGCGAGGGGTGTCTAGCAGGGGTGGTTCTTGGTGTTTGACGTGTGAAGATTGTAATTGTTCAGCTTGCCCCGTTGTCGTGGGTGGCCCCCCACCGTCCTGTTCAGCCTGCAGGCCTCTCCGTCTGTCGGCCAAGGAGTGCTTGCAATATGTAATTTTGGTGCCCGATGCTTCATTATGTTCAACGTTTTGGTGTCATACGCGTTGCATGTTTGTAAATCATGCCTTATGCTTCGCAGCGTGCTTCATGCTTCGCAGCGTGCTTCATGTATGCCCTGAGCTCGCTCGCTCAGTGACTCTGTACATGCTGATTGTGCCGTTGGGACTGGCCTGCAGCCGCTGGTCTAGCCCCTGCATGCGTTCCATCCCCGCAGGTCTTCTCCCTGGAAGATCTTATCATGGCTGATGTGATACCCGTGGCCTCGTCATCCCACGGTCACCGTTGTTGTGGCCACATCGCTCCAAGACCTAAGGTCGCATTCCTCTACCATACCCTCCTGACCATACCTCGCCATTGCTTCTCCTTATTCCCCCTCCCTGGTTGCTGCTCCTGCATCCTCCGCTCCTATCTGCCCCGCCTTTGATCCCTCCTCCCTCGCGCTCTGCTCATCTCCTTCCTCGTCAGGGCCTGTTTGTCCTTTTCCTCGCCGAGCTGCTCCACTACGCGGCCTACTGTATCACCGAGGTCGTCGTAGAGAGCCTGCCCGGAGGCCAGAGAGGGGGCAAGGGTGCAGGCGCAGAGGCGAAGAGGACGAATAGGAGAAAAAAGAGAGGAAGTTGAACAATATCAGGAGTACCCGTCGGTTGTCGAGAGTAGGTATAACTGGATGCCCAGATCCCAATCTACGTTAGCCACCTTCCTGCCTCACGAGTCGAGCGGCTTTCCCTCTTCCATCCTCTTCGGGGGGCGGGCGGAAACCCAATATGTTTCCAACGTCTGCCTGCTTCATGGTTCTACCTACTTCTTCCGACCGACGGGTAGGTCGAGAGGAGCATGGGCATGGGCAGGACCAGGATGAAGCTGGCCAGCCCGCACGAACCGGAAAGCTTCGCCCGCCCGCACCCTCCCTGCCGCACTATGCGAAAAAGTGCTGGCACAGCTGGACCCCAGCGAGCGGGAAGCGATCGCACGAGAGCGCCCTTCGGACGCGTCGTTCGCACGACCGACGCTCCCAAACATTTGGAACGCCGGGTTTTAGTAGTGTCCGGCTCTGGGTGCCCTCGCCGGGCCTCGGGAGCGTCAACAAAAACCCTTTAGGACGACAAGCCGCCCTACTAGAGAAGTGGTCTGGACCTCCGGGCGCCACGCATCGAAATATTTGGAGCAGCCAGATGTCTGGAGAGGAAAGGGTGCCCAGATCGGACAGGGCTGGGACGCTAGGACGAGGATAAGACCGTTCTAGAGCGTTCCAGAACGCTCTGAGGGCGTTCTGGAACGCTCCGAGAAGGCCGCGGCGCCCGAGGCTTCTAGGGCCGCCGGATCTCAGAAATATCTAGTTTCGAGCAGGCAGTGTGGATGCAGTGTGCGGAGCAGAGTGGGCGCGGTTTCACGGTCAGTCTTTGGCGTCGGCATTGTTGGGCCCGCAGAAAGCATGCGAGCATGTAGGGCACAGCGGGCTGTTAAATGACGAACAGGCTCGGTCTCAACGTGAAGCGGTGAGCCCTCCTCCTCACGTTGCACTCTGACCCGCGGTGCTGCATGCGGGCACGTTCGTCACAGGAGGAATCAGAGTTGGCCCAGGGATAATTGCAGGATGCGCTTTCGCCGCCGCATTGTAGAGGATGTTTGGCATGGCTGCCATCGATGGTGCAGTCTCTCTGCGTGTCGGTATCAGCGTTCCTTGTCGTGGGCGGCTGCGCCCTCTCGGTCATTGGCCCCCTCAGGTTCGCGCTCGCGGTGTTTACCAATTGCGCTGGCCTTGTGCGAGGGAGACTCAGAGGCTAGGACTCAAGATCTCGACCGCCAAAATTAGAATCACGGCATCGAACCTGTCTCTCGGGAGCGACCTCATGAATTGGTTGAAGGCGTGGAGCTTCACTCTAGTGGACAGCGTCAAGAATCTAGGGGCTGATTTCGCTCACTCGTCCAAGGGATCCAGGGAGGTTCAGTTCAAGCGGTTCCGTGGGGGCCGCCAGACAGAAGCAAGGTTAAGGCTCCTCGCTCAATACGTATAGGTCATTCCAGGATATTTTTAGACAGGGGGGGTACCCGCAGAGATGTGCGGCACGAGGGTGACATGTATGAGCACCAGCATGCTTGCAAGGGAAAGAGCAAGGACAAAAAACCGATGAGGCGGAACAGGAAGTGGAGGAGGATGAGGAGGAGGAAGAGAGGACATTCGTTAGTGCGACAGCCCACTCCCCCCCGACATGGACCCATCGTTTTGCCCTGCAGGGCCGCCGTCATCGTCACCGTCGTCACCACTGTCGTCGCCACCGAGGGAGAGGGGAGGATGACGGGATGCGGAGGATGTTTCCGAGGAGTTGCAGGGAGAGTACCAGCATGAGTGGCAGCGAGGGCCGAGGCAGGAGGAGGAGGAGGAGGAGGAGGAGGCTGAGGAGGAGGAGGAGCAGCAGAAGGAGAAGGAGGAGGAGGTTGAGGAGGAGGAGGAGGAGGCGGAGGCGGAGGCGGAGGCGGAGGCGGAGGAGGAGAATCAGGAGGAGGAAGTGGAGAGGAGGAGGACAATGAGGAGGAGGAGAAGGAGGAGGAGGAGGAAGAAGAGAAAGATGAGGAACGGGAGGGGAAGGAAGAGGGGGAGGGGAAGGAGGATGAGGATGAGGAGGATGAGGAGGAGGATGAGGAGAAGTAGGAGGTGGAGGATGAGCAGCAGAAGGAGGAAGAGGTAGAGGAGGAGGAGGTGGAGGCGGATGACCATGACTAGCATTCGTATTATTATTATCATTATTATTATTACTACTAATACTTATTATAGTACCATCATTATTGATATGGCACTCATCATGCTAATACTAAGCACAGTATTAGACATACTACAAATTGCAGTAGTGATGGCAATCGTACCCATACTACGCATCACCATCCTAATGATGGCTATGCTATACCTAGTACGTTGATTAATAACACGGATCAGCAGATGACGAACACTACGCTGCATACGACTAAACAAATGACTACGTATCATACAAATGATATTCAGACCATGAATATAATGGGGCATCGCGAGAAGGTGCAAACTACTACTAATTCGAAACACACTAATATTACGCAGAGGCGGTAGCGGGGACGGAGTAACATGATACAGAGGGGTAGGCGGAGGAGTCGGAGGAGGAGGAGGAGCAGGAGGAGCAGGAGGAGGAGGAGGAGAAAGCGGATTATGATGATGATGAGGAGGAGGAGGAGGAAGCGGAGAAGGAGGAGGAGGGGGAGGCAACAGAGGAGGATGGGTAGGCGGATAAGGGGAGTGGGGAGGGGGGGGGGAGGGGAGAGGGAGGATGAGGAGCAGGAGGAGGAGGAAGAGGAGGTGGAGGAGGAGGATGAGGAGGGGGATGAGGACGAGAAGGAACAGGAGGCGGAGGAGGAGGAGGCGGAGGATGCGGCAGAGGAGGAAAGGAGGAGGAGAGGAGGAGGAGGAAAAGGAGGAGAAAGAAGATGAGGAGGAGGAGGACGAGGAGGAGGAGGAGGAGATGGAGGAGAGATGAGGAGAGATGCAGGAGGATCTTGAGGAGGAGGAGGCGGAGGAGGAGGATAGGAGGAGAAGGAGGGAGGAGGAGTAGGAGGCAGAGGAGGACGGGGAGGAGGGGGAGGAGGGGAGAGGGGGAGGAGGGGAGGGAGGAGGAGGAGGCGGAGGAGGAGGAGGAGGTTGAGGATGAGGGGGCGGATGAGGAGGAGGGGGAGGATGAGGACGAGGAGGGGGAGGATGAGGACGAGGAGGAGGAGGATGAGGACGAGGAGGAGGAGGAGGAGGAGGAGGAGGAGGAGGAGGAGGTGGGGGAGGTGGAACAAGGGACGGAGGCGGGGCAGGACGGATGACGTAGTTGAAGTTGGTCTTCGCCGTCGTCGTCGTCGTCGAAGCTACGGCCCCTGCCCCGCGGCGCCGCCCAGGGGACTCCGAGACCGTGTCGACGCACTCGTCGACCTGGAGCCGCTACCCGCCACCGCCGACATCGTCGTCATCGCGGGCACCGTCGTCGTCGTCCGCGTCGCCGTCGCCGTCGCCGTCGTCGTCGACGTCGCCGCCGCCGCCGTCGTTGCCTCCAGGGGGCGAGCAGCGAGCAGCGCCCAACGGTTTGGATTCCCCTCCCACCCGGGAAGCGTAAGGGAGGACCCGTATCTCGCCTCGTCGCGAAATGATCACGATTGGTTTTCCCAGCCACCCTGTGGTGTTGGGTCCCCGTTTTGAAGAGAGAGCGTACCGCGTTCTCTCACTCCTTCCTTCCTCCTTCTTCCTTCCTCCTCCGTTCCCTCCTTCTTCTCCCCCATCCTGTCCTCTGTCCTCCACATGTCCATGTCGGCACACCTCTCACACGTTTCTTCGTGCTCCCATAGGGAGTTCCACCGAAGGCCCCAGTGGCGCAGTCCGCATGCGTCTCCCCCACCCATCACGGCAGACCCATCTCAGGGCTCGTGGCCCCATAGGGAGTTCCACCGATGGTCCCAGTGGCGTGTGTCTCTTGTGCCCATTGCGACACACCCCTCTCACGGTGCGTTGTCACAGGGAGTCCCCTAAAGAGTCTCCCCCGTTCCTCCTTCCCCTTCCCATCTCCGAATTCTGCATATGTGCGCAGCCCTTTTGGGCTTAGGGGCGACAGCCCGTGACGCCGAACAGCTCACCCCTAGCATTGGTACACACGTTTATCTCATCTTCTCGTCCGTTCGTCCCTCAATCGGCCCGTGGACCCGTGACAGTGGTAAGCGGAGCTGTTGGCGGACGACAGGACTTGGAGCTGGAAGAGGGCGTGTTCGAAACGACGAGGATGTGAGACCCGAGGTGTACGAGTCAGAGAGCCTTTCAGTTTGCCGGCATGCCGGCGGATGCTGAGACACAGACGGCAGACGACGCCCAGGATCAGGAGCAGCCTCCAGATACCTGGCAGCCTTCGTCCTGGCGTTCACGGTTGGACCAGTTGGAAAGGTGGTACGAAACTCCAGTCGCATATCAGAAATGGGATTCTGATCTTGATGACTGGTACAGGGCAGATTGGGGATCTTCAGAAGTTCGCAGTCGTGATTTCGGACCACTGCCCAGCTGGTTAGGTTTGGAGAAATTGGAGCTTTCCTCCGACATCCTTCGCGCCTGGTCAGGCTCCCAGGGTCCTGGAGACGTTTCCAGTATAATTGCAGCAGAAGTTCAAACCAGTGAGATCGTCTCTGGAGACGTCGGGAGGCATCGAAGCGTTGGTGTCTCATCTGCGTGCGTTGAGTGGTGAGATACCTGGGGATCGTGACAGGATATCCCATAGTCATGCGCTGTTCGACTACAACATCAGACGTGGAGAGAGCCTCACCGATTACATCCTTCGGAGAGATGCTCAACTGGCGGACGTGGAGAACAGAGGCCTTTCCCTGCCGGACAACGTGGTCGCGAGGTAACTCGAGGAGGGAACGAAACTCTCAGTGCAGAATCAGATCAATATGAGGACGCTCGTAGGAGGTAGAAAGGACGCGGCCTCCATCCGGGCCGCCATCCTGCAGTTATAGGTAGTGGAGAACCAAGTGTTCCCGGACCGTCTCCAGCCCATGGTGAAGGCGCACGTTGCCGACGAAGTCGAGACGAGACGAGGACGACGGTGACGAGATCGACTTGGCAGAAGAAGATGCGAGAGCGCTCTTGGCAGCCATCCGACGATCAAGACTTGGACCAACATTAGGTATTGGACGTCTTCGGAGCAGTGGTAGAAGAAAAACTGGGCAAGGAGTGCAGGAGGACTTGGACCGAGTCGAGACGCTAGAAGCGAATCAAGAAGATGGATTGCGATTTCTTTGATAAGAGAACGAATTTCTCGAGACCCTCGAAGCCTGGATTCCGGCGCCTGGGAGATGGAGACCTACGACGACGTTCCAGGTGTGCCAACCGCGGAGAAAAAGGGCTCTGGAGTGACACTTGTAAGAACCCGTATCTCTCGAAGGCCGACCGCTTGGCAAAATAAGAACGTGAGAACACATCGTGCCCGGTGACGGGCCTGACTTACTACTCAGTCAACGAGGAGGGCGAGAGCTACTTCAAGGGCGCGATCGAGTCGCAGGATATCGACGACGCGAAGATCACGGGTCAGATGACGTTCGCCGCGGCGACCCTGAAGAGCCTCGACTCACGCGCTCTGGTCGGCACTGTTGCGGGCCACGCTCTAGTGGGACAGAATGAGGTGGGAGAGCTTGACGCAGCCCTCGGGCGTCGAGACTACAAGGTGCACTTCGATTGGAAGCCAGTGGAGGGCATCAAGTCGTCGGGCATCGGCGGGGTCGTCTCGCCGGTCGGGCGCGCTATCGTGCCAGTTTCGTTCGGTAGGAGCGGCATCGTCGAGTTCCTGATCCTCCAGGGCTCTTGTCCCCCCCTGCTCCCCGCCAAGTTGCTGACGGGCCTCCGGTCGGTCGTCGACCTTGAGCGGAATGCGGCGACGGTGAACGCGATGGGCACCAAGGAGGAGTTGCCGCTCACCTGGCACCCCTCCGGCCACAGGTCGGTCGACCTGGCCCAGCACCCCCGGGGCACGTTCAAGCTGGCGCCCGAGATCGAGAGCACGGGCGCCCCGCGCAGCGGTCATCCGGGGCCGCGTGCCAGCCGCTGAAGGGGGGGCAAGACCAGCTAGGTGGGGCGTTTTGCAACAGTCTCTGTCTGTCTGTCTGCCTGCCTGCCTGTCTGTCTGTCTATCTGTCTGTCTGTCTGTCTGTCTGTCTGTCTGTCTGTCTGTCTGTCTGTCTGTCTGTCTGTCTCTCTCTCTCTCTCTCTCTCTCTCTCTCTCTCTCTCTTTTGTTTTTGTTTCTCTCTCTCTCTCTCTCTCTCTCTCTCTCTCTCTCTCTCTCTCTCTCTCTCTCTTTTGTTTTTTTTTCTCTCTTCTCTCTCTCTCTCTCTCTCTCTCCCTCTCTCTCTCTCCCTCTCTCTCTCTCTCTTTGTTATTATTTTTTTGTTTTATCTCTCTCTCTCTCTCTCTCTCTCTCTCTCCCTCCCTCCCTCCCTCCCCCTCCCTCCCTCCCTCCCTCCCCTCCCCTCCCCTCCCCCTCCCCTCCCTCCCTCCCCCCCCTCCCTCCCTCCCCTCCCCCTCCCTCCCCCCCTCCTCCCTCCCTCCCTCCCTCCCTCTCTCTTTCTGTCTTTCTCTCCCTCTCTCTCTCTATTTCTCTCGGCCCCCTCGGGCTCCTGGGACTCTCGGGGGCCCTTTAATAGCGGGCCCTGCGCTGTCTTTCCGGAGACCTCGGCTCAAAGAGATTCGCTTCTTCAGGAAGCGAGGGGTCGTTCAGTCGAGGGTGTCATCCAGCGCGGGGCGCCAGGGGCTCCGAGAGAGTCGCGCGCTCGAAGTCCCCCCTCGCCGTGAGCCAGAGGGTGAGAGGAGAAGTGAGCATGATCAAGAAGGTGGGGTTCGACCTGAGCCAGATGCGGAAGGGGGCGGCCGCGGCGCTCCGTGAGGGGGCAGCCGCGATGGGGAAGGAGAGCTGGGGGGAGCTGTCGGACAAAGGGATCGACCCGGAGCTGGATCGCATCTTGGAGGCCGAGGCCATGCCGGAGCTCGAGGAGCCTTGGTTCTACCACGGCCCGCTGAACATCGAGGTGCCGAAGCAGCGCTGGTGCAGGATCGCGCTGGGAATCTTCTGGGCCATGCGCGCGCGCACTTAGATGGCGCTTGCGGTGGCACTGATGCCCGGCATGATCAAGGGAGAGGAGGGTCCGGGCACTTGCCCGCGCCCGGCGCACTCGCGGTTCCAGGGGGGGAATCAGCGCGGCCGCTACACCAAGTGCACCGCGCGCGACTCCAGGATCCAGTGCGCCCAGCACACCGAGGAGGAGAAGGAGGAAAGGTGTTGCGACGAGGCGAAGCTGGATCAGAAGAAAGTTATTCGAGCACAGTGCAAGGAGGACTGCGAGGTCAAGATCCAGGCCTGGGAGGGCGGGGGCCCCTGGCTTCCACCCGAAACGCGGCCGCCTCATCCTGCTGCGAAGGTGGGGCGCCCTTCCCCGCGGTGAAGTGCGAGGCGGGCTGCGTTCCCAGGAAGCCGCCGCCGCGCGCGGTCCGCGAGGCGAAGGCCAGCGGCGAGCGCCCGATGACTGCCCCGGAGACGCAGCGGGCGCTCTACGACACGACGGCGGTCATCGAGAGCCAACGTCTATCAAACGAGGGCACCTTCAACTCCATGAGGGAGATGATGGCGGACCAGCGCGCCTGGGCGGAGACCGCCATCGGGGGGATCGTGGCCCGCCCAGCCTCGATTCAGGAATCGGACCTCATCAAGATTGCCGCGCTCATGCAGGCGATGGCCTCGGGGGTCGCCCCGGCGATGGCGCTGGGCTCAGCGAAGGAGGAGGGCGGCCGGGAGGGCGGCTCGGGCTCGGCGGACTCCGGCGAGCGAGCGAGCTCTCGGAGCCATGGCAGGCCAGCCCCTCAGAACGTGGCTTGCTGTCAGGGAACCTAGTGGGCCTTCTTGAATGATCTCAGGACCTACCTCAGTCGGTTCAAGGGGAGGGGTGGCTTTCGAAGCAAGTCCAGGAATACCAGCTTGTTCGAGTCAGGTTTGGCATTTTCGCTTGAGGAGGTCCGCGGTCGCAGTCGCTGGAATCGTTGCCTTTGCCAGGGCGCCAGGTCCAGGTTCTTTGCCGGTCTCGCGACAGCCGCCCATGGACATGCCCCCCCCCCGCCCTCCGCCTTACCCCCGAAACCTCGTTGGATTGAGGTCGCCGGCCCTCGAGGCGAAAAAGGTTTCCTCTGGCCTTTGGACCACCTCTGGTGCCGGGCGCATATCCGAGGCCGTTGGGGGCAAAACTAAGACGCGTTCTTCAGGTCACGGTTTGGCGCCAGGGTCGCGGGGCCGAGGGAGAGGAAGAGACGGAGGTCAGTAGAGAGGTGAAGGCCGAGGAAGCGAGGGTTTTCCTGGTGGAAGAAGACCCGTTCACTGCCGCGGTCCTAGACGAACGCTTAGACCTCGCTCCCGCGA